TCAGTTTATTGTTGAATCTTGAGTAAAGAAAAAAGTGCACCCTACTCTTACTTTCTGTGTACTCCTTCCTGTGCTGCAGCTTGTGACTGTCATCCCGAGGGGTCTCTTTCACTCCAGTGCAAAGACAGTGGTCGTTGTGAGTGCAGAGAAGGCTTTGTGGGAAACCGTTGTGACCAGTGCGAAGAAAACTATTTCTACAATCGGTCTTGGCCTGGCTGTCAGGAGTGTCCGGCGTGTTACCGACTGGTAAAGGAGAAGGTGAGCTGCCAGCCCTGCGTCTGTCCATGCCACCGGCATTGATTGGGAACCTGCTCTGCGCTGAGCCCCAGAGACAGCGTGGTACAAGATAGAAGGGGCCTCGTTTTGAAAGACTGTGTGCTCCACTTTGGAGGCAAATAATTTAAAGAATGAATACACAAGAAACACTGAGATAAGCATGAGGAAGAATAACAAATGGAGAATAAGCATGGAAAGTACTCTGTAAGCGGCCTCTCTAAGGAAATGCCTATGCAGTGAGCTCTGAAGGATGAGGGAATGAGCCGCATAAGAAGTAAGGGCAGGTGTTCCCAGCCGAGGGAACCTGGGTACGAGACCTAGAAGGAGCTCGGGGTGGCCGGAGCCTGCTGGAGGCCGAGGGGATAGTTACAAGACTGGAGAGTTCGTGGGGATGGGTTGGTTAGGACCATGCTGGTGGTAAGAAAGAATTTATGTCTTACCTCAAACCCAGTGGAAGTACACTGGAGAAACTCTGATAAACTTAGAAATGTAGTGGTTTTTGTCATTGTGGGGTTTTTGTTGTTGTTGTTGTTGTTGTTGTTGTTGTTGTTGTTGTTGTTGTTGTTAAGAGGAGCAATCTGACTGCTATGTAAAGAGTGATGGTTAGGACTGAGCAAAAGAGGAAGCCCCGACCAGGTTGGATCAGGATTTGGAAAGAGAGGAATCAGGATGGGTCTTTAGTTTTTTGCTTAGGGTAACTAGAACCGTTTTCTTCTGAGATGACCCAGAGAGAACAAATTTAAGAAGTACAAATCTGTAGAAGTTTAAGATATGTACCAGAAAGCCCAGTAGAGAAATTGAGATAGTAATCTAATATTCATGGAAAGGTCAGAACTAGAACGTTGTCAGCAGACAACGTTTAAAGTCAGAGGAATGGGCATGCAAGCTTTCTTCTGCAGGCAGAAGTAAAGCAGAATCACCTCTGTCACCTGCTTACAGGCAGACTTATCTGGAGTGTACAGACCTGCCTATTCAGAGTGCCCCATCAGTCGCACAGGAA